AAATAGCAAATTCTAGGCTATGTATTTAAGCTTAAATCATGCTTCATGTGCCTGAGGCCTGGAAGAGGGAAGAAGGAATCTAGGCAAAGGGCTAATGAAGCTAAAATGCTGTCAATTAAATCAATGGTTCCTGAAGACTTTCAGAGTGTGTCTATCTAGGTGATTATTTTTCACTGAGATTATAAGGGTGTATTAGGCAAATAGTCAGCATGGAAAGTAGAAGTGGGCTCTAGACCACCACCATCCTGTAAAGACTACAAGACCATGTAGCCATAAGGTAAATTTAGATATACCAACACAGGGTGATGCTCACTGAATTTATAAGGATGATGAGATTTCTTAGTTTTATCACCAAAATTTTAGCTTAGGCAGGATTTCTGAAAGTCAGTGCTCAATCTCAGTCACTGCGATAGAGCCTAGAAAAACGAATTGGTTCAAAATGCTCTAATCATAGAAAAACCCTGAACAGTTACATGACCCACAGCTCAGTTCATGCATACATACCATGACATAATTACACCTTTTAAAAATCATATTTCAGTTTATGAAATAAGCTAGAATTAGTACCTCCTTCAACAGCCCCTTTGTACATTTACAATGTAATTAGCAAAATGAACAGAAAAAAAGTCTGACTCAGAAAAAAGAAACACAAACATAGCTGCAATTACTGTAGCAGAAATGTGGCTTCAATGATTTCCTTTCATTACCATGCCAGGAATTGAGTCATAAGAGGAAATCTCATGGATTCCTGCTAATCATCCAATATAAGCTATAGCTACAATGTGAGCTCATTTAATGCAAATTATTATTGTATCTAAACTGTAAGTAAACTGTCAAAATGCATTAAGCAGGCTGCTAATTCACCAACAACCAGTGAAAATACAAATACCGTTATTTTAAAAGGTTATTAGTGAGAATACATAAAATATGTTTAACAGGAAAGTTCCACTTCAACTTGCAGTGTTCCATTTTCCATGGTAGTAAATAAAACAAAATGCAGTTTGAATAATTAAATCAATGTAATATATTTAATATATTTAAGAGCTTCATACAACTTAATGTTGCTAAAACAGATAATAACTGGTATTTGTAGATCACTTGTTTTTGTATTTTTCTCTTTTTGTAGTTCAATACCAGAAGATACTAGCTAAAAACAATGACTAGAATATATCAGTTTTCAGGCAAATATTGTTTTAGAGGGAGGGTTCTGAATGGAATGGAATATGATGCTACAGTCTGCAAGTGTGGACATTTAAGATATATATCAGAAGTATTCACAGATTCACAGAATATTTAAGGTTGGAAGGGACCTCTACAGATCATCTAGTCCAACCTTCCTGCTCAAGCAGGCACACCTAGAGCATGTGGCACAGGGTGGCATCCAGGCGGGTTTTGAAGACCTCCAGAGTAGGAGACTCCACAACCTCCCTGGGCAGCCTGTTCCACTGCTCTGTCACCCTAACAGTAAAGAAGTTGCTCCTCACCTGGAGACGGAACTTCCTGTGCTTCAGTTTGTGGCCATTACCCCTCGTCCTATCGCTGGCCACCAGTGAGAACAGCCTGTCCCCTTCCTCCCTGCATTCTCCCTTCCTGAACTTATACATATTAATCATATCCCCTCTGAGCCGTCTCTTCTCCAGAGAAAACAGGCCCAGCTCACTCAGCCTCTCTTCATACGAGAGATGTTCCATTCCCTTAATCATCCTGGTTGCCTTTCTCTGGACCCTCTCGAGAAGCTCCACGTCCCTCCTATATTGGGGAGCCCAGAACTGCACACAGTACTCCAGGTGCGGCCTCACCAGAGCTGAGGAGAGGGGCAGAATCACCTCCCTTGACCTGCTGGCAACACTCCTCCTGATGCAGGCCAGGATGCCATTGGCCTTCTTGGCCACGAGGGCACACTGCTCACTCATGGTTAACTTAGTGTCAACCAGGACTCCCAGGTCCCTCTCCGTGGAGGTGCTTTCCAGCAGGTCGACCCCTAATCTGTACTGATGCCTGGGGTTATTCCTCCCCAGGTGCAGGACCCTGCACTTGTCCTTATTGAACCTCATGAGGTTCCTCTCTGCCCAACTCTCCAGCCTGTCCAGGTCCCTCTGGATGGCAGCACAGCCCTCTGGAGTGTGGGCCAATCCACCCAGCTTGGTGTCATCCGCAAACTTGCTCAGGGGAAGATATTCATATACTGATATACTTCATATATCAGAAGTATTCTAAGTGTGTTGTACAGAAACATACTGTGGGCATGGTACAAAGAACAAGATTTTCTGAGAGATGAGGTTATTTTTCTGCAGGCCTGGGCTCCAGTCTTTCATTTGTTTCTCTTGTCCAGGTTACAATGCATGCTCAGTCTCTCTTTTGAATCAGGGCTTTGAATCACTGTAAATGTGACTGAGGAAAAAAAAATGCTATGACAAATTATATGACAAAATGCTAAGTATTTAGAGTAAGTAAGAATATAATTATTCTCTGAAAACTCTCTACAGCTCTAATTATGCATATCCAAGTCACTAGATCTCAGAAGAGTGTGATATACCCAGGATTAGGCGACACCTTCATGTTGATCCCCTCCAGTTGTAAGGATGAAGAGGTGTCCGTCAAACAGCTTGTGCTGTTTAAGGCACACTCCGGCTATATTAGTAAACTAAACTCATTGGCATCATTCCTGAGGCCAACTGGCATGGAATAACTTATGTATATGATAGGAAGTCCTAATCCCTGATGGAGGCTGGCCACACCAAACTGATCCGAGGACATTATAACCCTTGAGATATGCCCGGAGGTTGTTTGGGAGATGGACTTGTCTGCATGGGCTTGATGCGTGCAAGGGCTGTTCCAGCTGCACACCTCAGCGTCCAGGAACGGGCCTGGGTGCTGTTTCATGGCTGGCTGATAGGTACCTTTGCAGAGTCATGTTTTTGCTCTAAGGATAACCAGATGATGTTACCTCCATAAACACTTCAGGCCGCGAAACATTTAGATACTAATGCAACAGGGGCTCTATGACTGTATGAGCAAATGGTATGGTTTGGCAAGATAGTCCCAGAATGCAGGCTCTATTTTTATATCTGGATGTAAATCTTAGGATAGTTCATGTCATTCTTTCTTATACACAGTCCTGGTAAACAACCCTGGTGAGTGGGAGACAGGAACTTCAGCCTCTGAGCCGTTCACATGATTTAATGCAGGTGATGTTCTTCTGGCTCCAGCTGTTACAGTGGACCTGTCACTTACCGAGTGATCTGATGTGGTGGGAAGGCCTTCTCTGTGCATTGCCCTCAAAGAAAAAACTGTTTATCCTCCAAAATAAGCATCCTAGACAGTCTGATCAGCTATAAGCATTGCTTGAGGCAGTGGATGTAGATTATGGTTAGTGCAGTCGTGCATTTTGAATAGTATCTTTTTGGCCTCAAACATTTTGCTAATTTTAGAGTATTACATTTCCTTCAGAACATATACATATATAGTATGACATCTGAAACTTGAAATCTTGGGATCATATCTCAGAAGCATGAGACGAATAAATTAATTATTTACAAGAAAATCATCATGAAACACAACACATTTTAAAATAGTCTATTTTAGGTTTGGTCTTTGGCATAACAAAAAAAAAACACTATTTGTTAGCCAATCATAATTCGGTAATTGGAATATAGCACACGACTTGTTTCACAATAAATATTTGATGTTTAATTCTTCAGCATTGCTATTTTTAAAAAGTATCTTGTAAGTCAAATCAACCTATGACTGTTTCTGCACAGTATCTAGTTATACAGTGAAAATCCTTGCCACCTCTTGTTATACAACAAAAGTTTATATACGTTCAGAGAGATTAAACTTGTTTATGAAAAAAGTACATAGGCTACAAAGCACAACATATGGTTGGCCAAGAAATCCCCAGAGTACAAGCAGCTGGAAAATTTTATATCACAGTTACCCACTGTTCGAGACCAGACGTTGGATAAGCTCAATTATGATCATTTGTGTTAAGTGGAAAACACTTGAGACATATACCTGATTAGGTGCTTTTTGAATGAATTTTGGGATCGAGCCCTCTGCTGATACAAGTGGGCAATTAAACTAAAGATGTGTTCACTTAAGCTAGAAATTAATCTGGCTCTTAGTTCATGAAAGATGCTAAACTGTCAACAAGAATTTGTTCAAAAGCTTAGGTTAAGAAAAAAACTAAAAGATAGACAAAGAATGCAAGTTAGTCATTGAACTTTAGAGAGATTGCTGAAAACTCACAAAATGTCTGTTTGCAATGGGAACATCAGACAAACTATTCATTAACTGAATAATTCTCATAGCATAGTAGTTTATCCCCTCTTTTAAAAAATGATATAGGTCACATCTAGATCAGATAAGAAGTTCTACATTCCATTACCACTACTGCTAGATAAAAGCTATCTAATCTTTTACATTTGTGGTATAAGTGGATCTGGTCATTACTTGCCCAACAATTTCTCACACTCATACATGACTGTAAGAGACTATATGAAAAAAAATTAGATTTTACTATTGGGAAGATAAGAGAAATTACAGATCATAAATATATGCTTTCATGACATTCTCTGTCACCATTTTTTAAGAGTAATTGAATTTGGAAATTTCAACTAACTCAAAATATTTTTAATTGAATAATTGGTTTTGATAATCCACTATCTTAAAACCAGTTACTTAGTCCAGGTATTAACAAAAAGAAATGAAAAAACTTAACAGAACAACCTATCTCCACACACTAACAAGCTAGGGAGGATCCAAACCAGAAAAGAAAATGTGAAAGAGATGTTGAATATTGCAATCCAAAAGGCCACAGTTAAAATATTTATTAAAAATCCCAAAGCCCTCAGAAAAAAAAAATTAAAGTTCTTTAAAAGTTTTAAAAAACTTTAAAAGGTCATTCATTCATTCTTTAAATTTTTCCAGACTTCTAGAGCCTGAATTTATTCAGCCAAAGGAGTTAAAATTAAGAAGGTTTTTTAAGAAGGTTTGCTTACCATAAGTTGACTAGGAAGGGATGTTCCAGGCCTTGCATTATCTGTAACTCCCGAAAAACATTTCGAACTTCATCTCTCTCAATGCACTTTTGTTTATTCATATATTTCATGGCATACATTTTCTTGGTGTCTCTCTTCTGCACAATGCACACCTAATTGACAGCAAAATAAAAGGTAAAGTTTGTCAGCAACAGAAATAAAACTCAATTAGGAATTCAAAAAAAATTTACAATATTTCATGCATCCAAATTAATCTGGATATTACAACCTAGAAAATCCTTTAGAAAGCCCATGTTACAGCTATGTTGAATTCTTTGTAATAGCTTATAACTAATAAATTAATTAAAAAATACCTGTATATTTTCTCCATTCTGCATAAGAAGAAATTGAGACCCAGAAAGTGACATAACTGCCAGTCAGTAAAGGTAGGAGGAATACTCAGGAATACTGCTTGAATCCCAGACTATTCCACTCATTACAGAAATTACTGTCTCCTGACGTCGGAAAACGCAGTTACTGTTCACAGTCCCACAGTCAATAAGTACATCTTGATTATTGTATCATAATAATGTCATAGGTTAATATGGATCAAAAATTTCACATAAATACCAGAATTATTCCCCTTAACTAATATTGGAAAGAGAATTTTCAAATAAAGATTAATCATAATATTTTTAAGGTCAGAAGAGACCATTATAATGTAATAGTCTCAGGCAGTAAACTGCTTTGCTTTGCTTTCATTTTCTCTTTTGGCAAAAAAAAATGAAATTTTGTAAATGCATGAAGAACTAGAGAACTCCAGCATTGGCACTCAATGCCTTTTTTTCATTAGTCATGATGGTTGAGCAGTTTCCCTGTGACTCAAGCTGGAAAGTCACAATCCTGCATCAGCACTACATCTAAGAACCGTAACTTTAAGTATGATTTGTGGCAAAACAGAAATGTAAGATTGATCTGTGTTTGATCCCAAAGCTAGTATGAATCTCATCATCATAACAAACCTTACCCATGACTGGAATCTTTTTCATGACTGGAACGTGGCCATGGATTGCTTTAGGCTTTTCAGGAAGGTCAGGCCAGGAAGGTGAGGTGGCAGAGTTGCCCTTTACGACCAGGAAGGGAGAGTGGATGAGGCTTCTACAGGCAGCTGCAAGAAGCCTCAGGATCACAGACCCTAGCCCTTATGGAGGACTTCAACCACCCTGCTGTCTGCTGGGATAATCACAGAGCCAGGAACAGACAGTCCAGGAGGTTCGTGCAGAACATTGCAGATAACTTCTTGATGCAGGTGGTTGAGGAGCCAACAAGGGGATGGCCACTGCTAGGCCTGATACTAACAGACAGAGATGGTCTAATTGGAGATGTGAGGGTTGGAGGCAATCTTGGCTTCAGTGACCATGAGATGTTGGAATTCATGATCATGAATGTAGAAAAATGGGTAAGAAGTAGGAGTGCAGCATTGAACTTTAGAAGAGCTAACTTTGACCTCTTCAGGGAGCTCCTTCGAGGAATCGGAGGTGGAGGAATCCCTTGGTGGAGGGAGGAGATCCTGCCCTCTCCCCAGCTCTGGTGAGGCCGCACCTGGAGTACTGGGGGCAGTTCCGAGCTCCCCAGTATAAGAGGGGTGTGGAACTTCTTGAGAGGATCCAGCGCAAAGCAACCAAGATGATTAAGGGACTGCAGCATCTATCTTACAAGGAAAGACTAAACAAGCTGGGCCTATTTGGCCTAGAGAAGAGAAGACTGAGATCTCTCTAGAGAAGAGAAGACTGAGTAGACATCAATATGTCTAAGTTCTTGAGGGGAGAATGTAGGGAGGAGGGGGCCAAACTCTTTTGGTGATGGCCAGTGACAGGACAAGGAGTAACGGGTGCAAGCTGCAACACAGGCAGTTCCATCTGCATGTGAGGAAGAACTTCTTCACTGTGGGGGTGACAGAGCCCTGGCACAGGCTGCCCAGGGAGGTTGTGGAGTCTCCTTCTCTGGAGGTCTTCAAAACCCGCCTGGATGCCACCCTGTGTCCCGTGCTGTAGGTATGCCTGCTGGAGCAGGGGTTTGGACTAGATGATCCCTAGAGGTCCCTTCCAACATCAACCATTCTGTGATTCTGTGATTCTTTCATACACAAATTGAGCACATCTATATCTCCACCAGAATTTTGCTCTGCAGGTTTATTTCTATTAAATTATCTCATCCTTTTTAAGGACTCCTAGTGTGTTTTACAACTTAAAGAATATAACCTGAACATAACCAGCTATTTTGATGCAACATTTATATTACTGATACAGAAATAGGTCCCAATTGGAATTTTTCATTATCAGGACATGTACAGAATACCAAATGTACGTATCTGATTTTGATACTACAACTCTGTAGTAAGTTCAGGGATATATGAAGAATGCATTTAGGGTGGGTATTCTTGTTTTATTGTTTTTATATGTTTATCTACATACGTTTATACTAAGCATATATATGGATATAAATACATGCACCCACATATATTGTAATATATGCATATATATGAATATATCTTAAAGTGCTCAGAAATTAAATTATATTGTTGTGTCAACCAAAAAGAAAATCTTTCATTTTTGATATGTATTTTAATGAACTTGCATACTGAAAGCTTAGAAACACTTAGAATAAATTGAGACAGCTTATAATCATAGAATGCTTAAGGGACCTCAGAGGTCATCTAGTCCAACCCCCCTGCTCACGCAGGGTCACCCAGAGCACGTGGCACAGGGCTGCGTCCAAGTGGGTTTTGAAGATCTCCAAAGAAGGAGACCCCACAACCTCTCTGGGCAGCCTGTTCCAGGGCTCTGAACTTAAGAACAGCTGAAATATTTAATTCTAATAACATGTCATCTAGATTCTGGGCTAGGTAACAACCCACCAGAACCCAGGGTCATGGACCTAGAGGGAGGCATGACATGCTCAGTTACACCTTACCATCACAGGAAATGCTGCAGGAGCTTTCCATTGTCAAGTTTTCCTTCCTCCACCTTGTTCCAGTTGCTCCAGAAGGACCTAGCCCAGAGAAAACTGAACCACACATTTCTGTGGAATTCTGTTTCCCTGAATGATGCTCTTGAGCTCAAATGCAATCCAAAGATAGGAATTAATAGAGTATCTTTAATAATAAGGCTTTAATGATAACCTTTAATGTAATTCAACAGCATTTCTGATTACCTTTCCTAATACAAGGAGATGTTCTGCTAATCAAGTAAAACAAGGATGGCAATATTCTTTCCTGACCCTATCCTTATCGCACAGTGATAAGCACTGGAGTTTTGTTTTGTTTTTCTCCTTGGGCTGTTATGGAAAACCAAAATGTTGCTGAAGTCCTGAAAATAACTAAGTGTTCAAGCCTATATAGAAAGAATCCAAGATATGGAAAAATAAGAAATTGGATTTGGCCTCTTGGGGAAAGAATAGATCTCAGGGGGAGCTAAGTTAAAATGGAAGGAGGAAATCAATTGTTCAAAGCTCCACTTGTTTCTCAAAAGAGCTTGAAAATGGCAAATCCTGTGGACACTCATAGAACTGGAGTTGGCTGCTCCAGCCTAGTGAATCATATTATAAAATCTAACAGTTATGGAGCTTGGCTCAGAAGCTAAATTCAGAAGGTCATTCACCTACATGAATTTCTGCATAATTTTAAATGAAATTTGGCCAAGACTCAGAGGCTCTCACAGAATCTGTTCCATTTTATTAAGAGACTCTGTATTAAATGTCTGACCAGGAAGACTGCTGAGAGAATGAGGTTTACTCAACTAAGAGGTGACAAGTTTGACAAGTGGAGGAAACTAGGATCATACACAGCACCTAAAAATATAAAAAAAAAAGAGATTATATTTTACAATATTGATGTGATTCCAAAAGGCATTCAGTTCTCTCACTTGACAGTAAAGATGAGGATCTTCAGCACATTTGAGACACATTCATGGCCTTTAAGCTAAGACACTTTCTTAGCACATAGCCTTAAAAGAGAATACTGAAAAACATTTTCTAGAAATGTGCACCTACTCACATCTTTTAATATGTTTCCAAAATCAATAGGATTTTCATTAGGATACTGAAGGTACTTTCTGCTAAAAATCAAGAAATCTAGGCTGAATCCGTACTGATGTTATTGTGAAAAACACCTGACATTGCTACTGATGGTGCTAAACAGTAGTGCAGAATCTCTGTCATTTTTGCCTCCTGGTTGTCAGCTCTTCTTCTGAACAGAGCATCATCAGGCTGCTCTGTGAGGCTTGGACTGCTCAACTACTGCAAGAAAGGAAGGAAAACCTACAGCTTTCCTTATGTGGGAATTATTAATGGAAAATGTTTTAAATAATTTCAAATGAGACATTTTAAAATAGGCACAAACAGAGGCTCTGGCACCTCAACAAAGAAATTTGGTGCTGACTTTTTATACCAGGAAGTCCATTCAGGTTTGCCCTTTAGTATGTAAGCCTGTCATGCTCACTTTGCATCCACTTTGATCTTTTTTTCTGAAGACCTGTGATTTTGCTCAGCTCTGACCAGTATCATAGCCTCAGCAAAACTCTGTAAACTGAGTATCAACTTTTCCATCTATCCAGCTTCATAATCAGCACAGAGGGACAGGCAGTTTCAGAGAATAGATCATCTCTTTCCAAGGCAAAGACCAAGCAAGGGAATCAATTTGAGAGGGACAGCTTCTCTTCTACCAAGTATAAGGGAGTAGATGACTAACTATGATATAGGCATCTATGCTGTGCATATTTAAAAGTAGGTAAGACAAATCTTGTCTTGTTAATTTTCTTTGGTGTTATGACATGTTGATTTTTAAAAGCCTCTTGCAAATACATTCCCTTGAAGGTGTTCCTACATGTCTAGGTTGCTGTCACAATGGGCTTGTGTTTTTCTGTTAGATGAGAGATGACAGTGATGAACTGTTTTCAAAATTACCAGGTTAGAAGGAATTTCACCAGAGTGGGATGTGGAGCCATCTGCCCTCAGAAAGAAGTATATTAGGACTGCAGTACTAAACTGAACCTTACTGGATCAAGATGGGTCACTTCTAATCTGTGTTCTGCATCTTTGATTTCCTGATTTCCCATGCAAAAATCAGAATATATACATACAACTCCATTTTGATCTGCACACTAATGGGTCACAGATACTAAAACCCTTTTTGGTGACTGAGTGCCCTCCTGGCAGTTTTAGAGGTGGATCAAGGAAGCAGGAGAGTTCTGCTGAATAAAACGTACTGGTTTGTTGTGGAAAGCTGTGCAATGCTGTGTAGGAGCAACCATAGTAGCTTCAGAAAAGTACTTCTGAAATCACAATAGGGGGATAGCTGAAAAGTTTGCTGCAAAGCACAGACTTGCCATGTTTCCCATTAACCTCATGAGATGTCTAGCTGCCACATGCTAGGTCCTGAGAGCAGAACAGCAGGAAATTGGAGCACTTAGTCTCTATAAAGCTATTTTGGTCTCAGTTTGGTTCATGGTACTTCTTAAATTGGTCCTACACCAGTACATGATATGACAGGTCATCAGCCAGGAGGGATGTAAGACACCAACTAGGGGAAGCTCCCTTGAACACGGTCTCTGTTAGGTGGCAAGTTTGCCTTGTTCCTGTACCATCTCTTACGCGCTGACCATGTCAATATATCAGATATGGATAGGATCAGGTATAAGTCAATACATTCCCTGTAACTGCCATGAGTAATCACAGCCGGGGAGAGGCTGTAGCACCGTCGAAGCAGAAGATACACTCCTACACGTAGGGGACTGCAAGCCAGAAGTCAAGGAAACATTTCACATTCAGTGCAAAGCCAATACTAATGCACTCGATTTAACTGAAACATATTTCCAGTTACTGCCTCCTTATCTGCTTTTTACTCACATTCTCTCGAAATTAATATTCACATACTCACCCTACAAACAGATTGGGCAAGGTTTTCAATAACAAGCCAGAGAATGAATGTCATAAGTTTGGCTTTATACTGCTGGGGAATTTCCCTGGCACAGAGAGATTCATTGCCAGAATCCCCTGAGAAAACTAAGACAGATGTAGCAGGGACTGAGCATCCCCTTAGCATCCTTTCATATTAACTCAAGCTAAAAAAATAGGTGGTTATACTGTCAAATAATATTCTGTAGTTGTGCGTTATGTTGCTTTATGATAGCAGCAGGGTTTTTTTTCCCCTCCAATTCTTTACATATTATTTAGTAAAGTACCCTCTATAATCACAGACTTGATTTTGGACTCCCATCTATTTTACACCAATGCAATTTCAATTACTTCAGCAGAGGAAGCCACTGTTTCATACCACCAAATTAATAAGAATTATGCTCCGTGTCTCAGTATCTTTGACAAATAGAAGGAGAAAGAGTTTGTACATAGAAATCAAAATTTAAATTTAATTTAACAAGGTCAAATTGTTCAATATACCTGCTAACATGAACAGAGAACTTGTAGAAAATTGATACCATAATATCCCAGAAAATTAGACATTGCAGCTGAATACAAATTATTTTGCAGCAGTAAGCTTGCAACTATGAGATTACTGTTGCAGTGAATAAAAATGGTGGGTTTTTTTTGAAATTTACTCCCAGATAATGTTTTATTTATTGAGCAATCTTCAAATATATAAGTTTTTGCAGTTGATGGCATTTCAGTTGATTGGAATGATGGCTATATTTATATATATATATATAAAAGAAAAAATAGCAAGAATTAAACACACATTTACAATGTGTGACATAGCACAAAAAACACTTAATTCAGTGTTCAGTGTTCAGAATTTTTTGCTGTTGTTGATTTTTAATTGTCCACTTTGAATTTACTTAGAAAAAAATAACATATAGACAAAAAATGTTGAGGTAAAATTTCTGATCTGATCCACCCCAAGTGTATTTCAAAATACTAATAGCTGGAACATGTAAAGCACAGGCAGCCTCAGAGTTGACAAAAACAAACAAACAAAAGAAATCAATGTTTCGTACTACAAATGAGGACACCAAAGCAAAAGTAAAGGGTACGAGTAAAGTTCCTGGAGCCAAAAAGGCTGTTGTCAGATGTTCCGCATACTTTGTATGGGTCTTGTTTGCTGCTCAGCAACTCACAGATCCATACTTGTGTTTATGTGTGCCTATGGACACAGCTACATACTGGGTAACAGCACATGTCCCTGGGAGAGAGGTGAGCAGTCAGTCAGTGGTCACATATTGACGCAGTTTACATGCACAATATCTATGGCCAAAACGGTCCCAAGCAGGCTCAAAGCTCAAGTTCTTGATCTCCCCAGCCTGCAAACTGAACTCTTCCCAGGCACAGAAAAGCAAGCCCGCTGGCTTCCAGAAACCAGAAGAGTCTCCTTGTTTCCCTTCCCTTCATCCTCTTCTCCCTACTCTAACAAGTGCTGTGATGTCCCTTCTTTTTCCCTAGGGCAGATTCTGGAGCATGCAGGAGACTGCATCCACCTTCACCTGCCCCGTGAGAGCAGAGAGCACTGGAGCAGCAGCAGCCAATACTGGTGACCCTGTCACAGGAAAGGGGAGCTCCTTGGATATCAACTACCAAATATACTGGGAATCCCTTTAACAGCAAAGGCAGCCACTGTGAATCGCAACAGCTGACGGAAAAGGGAAGAAGCTGCTTTGTGAGGGCGGCTGGCAGAGCTGGAGCTGCAGCTGGTGGAGCAGAGGGTGGAGGTCACCCTGAGCTCTGCACACACAAGTGAGCTGAGTTGTGCAGAATCTCTGCCTGGCTGCCATTCCAGATACGTCCTGCAGCAGCATCCTGCAGAGGCCTAGGGTTGCTGTAGCAACCACAGTAATTTAAGAAATATCGAGAGAGAGGGAGAGCGAGAGAGAGAGAGAGAAAGAGAGTGGCTGTACCAAGAACAATTAAATAAAAAGCTAGAGCATGTCTTAAAAAACCCTATTGCTCTCAGAAAGCAGAAATGGCCACAGCGCAGCTGTAAAGGAAGTACATAGCTCGAGGAAAGCATGACAGCAAGCGCAGTCTTGCATGCTGCTGTGTATGCTGCAGCACAGTCGACTCCCAACCATAAACTCTGAATCAATAGAGATTAGAGCTCTTGCATCATTTGTTGATGTTTTCTGCTGCCAGGTAGTTCCAGAAGGACAGAAATAGGAGAAGTTGCCAGGAATGAGGCTTCTTAATGAAGGGGAAAGGCAAAGCTTATCCGCAGAGAAAGACACTTTTGAAACTGTGACTGATTTACTATGTTGTGCTTTTGGCTGTGGTACAATAGGTCATTTTAAAATGGGTTTCTTTCTTTTTGTCTGTGGATGGAAAAATAAGGCGATTGGTTGGAAGCTTGTATTCATTTGGAATAAATAAGCTTGTTATGCCAAGGACTCCTATGTTGCACGGGCAATTGCAAATTAAGGATTTAAGTTCAAAGGGGACCTTATGCACTTTTTTTTTCTCACGTTGAGTATATTCTCTCAGGTTGCAAAACCTTATTCTCGTACACTTACTACCAAAATAGGCTCAGAAGAACATTGCAGCCCATAACAAAAAATAAACCCATAAGAAAATTTGATGTTTTTTGGAAATATCAACATAGAAAGATTCAGCATTTTCTGAATGCTTTTCTCATAGAAAATATTTCACCATGATGCCATGGAGAAGAATAAATCAACCATCAATTGATCAAAAAGCACTTGGGGTTGTTTAATTGTACAGCATGACGTGGAAGGGTCAGAACCACTTTGGTAAGGCAGAGGCAGTGCAAATGTGGAAGCTTTGAAGAAAGAGAGGGGTTCAGGAGGCACCTGTAATGGGCAGGATGATTTGAATACTTTTCTAAGTGCTTTTCTGGGTATTAATTTGCACTGCAGGCAATGGGAGGCGATCCTTCCCTAGAAAAGAGTCACCATTAGTGCACTGTGATAATAAAAGTCACAGCTCCCAAGCCACCCTGATTTTTGGAGGATTTCTAGACTACAGTTTTGCATCAGCATCATATTCCCCTACGAGGGCACGTCTCGTAGTCTGCCAGCCAGAGCCAGGACCAGGCGCGGAAGGCATTTTAGGCTCCTCTTCAATGAAAGTCAACTTTCTGTGTGGAAGGCCCAGGGCCAAAAAGAACTTATTCATGTGCATAATGTGTAATTACAGAAGTAATCCACTGCCACTCAGCTGGCACCCGCTCAAGAATCGTTAAAATCGAGGCCAACGTAGGTATTTCTTGATCAGTTACTGAAGTTGTATTTCACCTTTAGATGTATTCCTGCAAGTAATGGTTTCTAACATTTTTCTAATATAATTTTCTCTGGCCGCATGGCCTTGTATTTACCCACATTAAAATTTAAAACCTTGTTATAGTCTTTATTATAGCAAAGAAAGGTCATCTACTCATGTGTAAACAAACCATTAATCTTCTCTGTTTCAACACAAGCCCGTTGAATTGAACAAACATTTACTCAGTGATCATAATTACAGCAAATGCCAGCTTATATAGTTCCAAGTGTATTGAATACATGTAAAGTGTCCTTAAAATATTGCAATTATTTTAAAGACATGAATAAGTCCAGACATTTAAGAACATGATGACCCTGTTGGACTGCTCACTAGAGTGGTTGTTCCAACATCTTATATGTTTTTGTTTTGAGGACTGATTTCCACCTTCTGCTAATCCTCATTGACATGATTTAATTATTAGAAACATTTACTCAATTAACTTTAGTGAGTATATTGTAATAGTATGACTGAGATCAAAATATCCTTAAAAAGCAAATGTCTATAGGCCTATGTTCCTTTACTGTAGCATTTAATGAGATCATGTCAGAAACACACAAAAGAATTAGCTATTAGATTTTTAATTACTAAAAATAAATCAGTTCTTACCTTTCCAAAACTCCCTTTCCCAATAGCCCGCAATATTTGAAAGTGGTCAAAGTTAACTGCAAAATAAAGTAGAGAAGAGAAGGAAATATAGTTTGCCAAGTGCTAAATGAGAATCAGAAACCAAATAACAATTAAAACAAATGGCATTTTCCTCCTAATGTCATTTTACAATGCAATATTTACTGTTTCCCTAAAACCACCAAATTTATCTAAAAGCTGGAAAACTTTGATGCTGGCTTGCAACAAAATATGCTCAATGTGTCATTAATTTGTTCATCAGCCCATCTTGGCCCCATGCTTCCAAATTTCAATGTCTCCAAAAAGTGACAAATCTCTGCCCTAGCCACATAAGAAGACACTAAGTTAGTTGCATTAGGCAGTCATTAGCACTGCCCACATCATAATCCTGGAATTGCTATTAAAAGAGTATTAAATAATTCAGGTAGGTAATACAATCTGCATATAGGTATGTCAGATAAAAGGATAGTATTGCTAGTAATCACTCCCCAGGACAATTCCCATGCTTCATTCAAGAAGATGTTCTGTTAAAGGGATGAAAACTTGTCCCATTATGGGCTAGGGGGATCAGCTACTCTGAACTTCACCACCTTAATACCATATATAATACCCATATTTTTAAACCTATTTCATAAATGTAGCACAAGTTGTTTTGAAAGAATTCATTTTAGCTTGGCAATAGAATGAATTTACTCCAGCTTCGTGAAAATCTAAATGATAACATGATCTGCCCTAGACAGTGAAGTGGTGTACTGTGAAGGTTAGTGAGATATTCCATTTTCCAGAAATGTCATTATTGTTGGTGTTGCATGAGACTGAACACAGCATGACCTTCACATCTCTGGTTCATTGGTAGGTCTGGTGACTTAAAAAAATCCAATAACATCCTGAACAAAATTGATACAGAGCCACTGAAACACAAACTTGACAATGTGTGACAGTCTTTACAGTCACTCATCAAAAAAGAATCACACTTAAAGCTAAACCCAGTGAACTGGAGTTGGCAAAGTTCACTGAAACTTAACAGTGCTTTTTTTTTTTAACTTTATTATGTTTCTGGCTTTGATCATGTACCTTCATCTGTGTGCTCATCACTGAGGTAACAGGACATCAGCAAAATTATGTAGGTAAACTGTCACTAGGAAAAAGTGGTAACATGAAGAAATAAAACAAAAATATAACTCACATCATAATGAAAAAGAGAATCCTATAATATTTTGCATGTCTGCCAAAAAAACCCATTTACCGCCTCAAGGTAAGGAGTAGAACATTGTAATGTTGAAATATATCAAGCCTCCAAAAAAGGCTAAAATTATTTTCCCTGTTGCAGTGATATCTTATTTGCATTATTAATGCCATGTATAATATATTTAAGGATTTGCTTATTTATGCTGGCTTACATTTTCTTCAAGGAAGGATGGCTGCTCCTTTCATTAGTGCCGCTATAGCAACCATCTTCCTGGTAATTGCTGGGGCCCACGGCAAATCCAGAGCTGACAGAGTTAAAAGTAGCAGACTTCACTCTTTACAAACAAAGATGGTAATTGTGAATACATTCATTTTAGGGTCTGGATACTAAAATGAAAATGCATAAAACTGCAAAGGATTTTTAGCCTGCTATTGCTGGAAAAACTTTTTTTTTGCTAAACCAGGTTAGAGCTAGGGTCACTTGGATGTTTGCAAGAAGTATGTTTGGCTTCTATGACTGTGGGTGCTGCCCACAGAAACCAATGGAGCAGTCTCCCATACTCTCCGTTGGTCCAAGATGGTATGATGGATAAGATGGTTGATTTAGGAATGACACTTTCCACGTAAACTTCTGCCAATATAAGTTTTGTAGTAAAAAGCTTACTTAGGAAGGAATTCAATATAGCACTGAAAAGGTTTGAAACAATGTGTTCACTCATTTGTTTGATAAGAATATTCTGGGATTTTTCCCTCCAGCACACTGTTATTCCCCAACTTTCAGACCTTCTTGTTTATTTTACTACTTAAACACCTTAGTTTAACAAAGTTTACTTTCACTGAATTTGTCCTCCATTCTGCAGACATTCTTTACATAAAACACAGATTTATTTCAGTGGAAGATGAATTAGAGAGGCTAGGACTACATTTAGGAGCATCCCCTCTTATTTTGTGCATTTTTATATTCTGTTTAGTTATTTTGTGCATTTTTATATTCTGTTTAGTTCCTATGTCATGCCAGGTTATTAAGGGAAAAGTGTTTTTGGCACACTTCTTCAGTAAGAAATAATCAGTGGGAAGATTTTGATGAGTTGAAGGATATCCATACAAGTTACCAGCCTGAAATTTCTTTTAGCACAATTCAAAGGATAAATTCGAAGACTGTTTGTTAGAACAAATCTACGTCGGTGCAAGATAGGTGAGCATAGTATCATATTTATTTACCTTAGTCTACCTTATGCTGGTTCTATATGAGAGTAGCATCAATCTGAACCCAAATCCCCGAGGGCCATTCCTGATTGCAACTGAAAAACACCTTATATAGATTCATCTCTAATTATCTGAATTGAATTCAGGTCACATTTCAGTAAGACCTGACCACATTGTTGTGCTGCAACACTGTTCATTTTGAAACACACCAGTTTGTTCAATGGCTTATTTTACTTTTGTAAAGCTAAGATAAAACATTCAGTTTTAGTTGCGAGAAGGAAATTAATTATATAAATGTAAATTGTATTTCTTTATTCTTCTTTCTCTAACAGTTTTTATCGTTCTGAATGCCTACAATGATTTAGCATTGTGGATTTTAATACAGATTGGGAGAAGGAAATTATTAAATGAGACATTTGGTCCTTGTGGTTTAAAGTGGATTATTAGTAAGTCTAATAAATGGTTATAAAATACAGCCACAATAGTCCATAAAATTTTCTCAGTTTTTGTGTCCAGCATGAAAAGAAATTGGGCCATTATTATACTTTCAGTTTTTTGTTAAGAAAAAGGAGTCATTTGTTTTCATAGTTCACTGTCCCACAAGCTGGTCTGACCTGTTTTAAATCAAGGGACAATGATTGCAACACTTTGTGGAAGCAAAAAGAAAGATTATTGCATGTGACTGCAGAAGTGTGCTGACACACTTGAGTTTGCATCTGAAACGAGCTATGCCTTCAGCCACTGCAATTTTTCTGGAAATGGAAAATTCACTAATTCATTTTTTTTGATCATTGATACACCCAACCACAATGCTGTAGATTCCAAAATTGGGATGTTTCCCCAGAGTTGATGTTAGGGACAGGGAACAAAAGGAGCAGACCGCAGCTGAGACATACCATATTTAACTGAGCAAAACTCACATGTAACCATCCCATCAACAGTAGATCAGCAGTCACGGCAGCACTGCTGCTCTAATAAGCAGAGAACTGTCTAGCTAAGTTCACTGCCACCTTATTATTAAACTAGTCATTCTCCTTGGGTGCTTTTAATCTTACACTGATTTTTTTTGGCTCTTTTTTGGTTCATCACACCTTTTTTTTTTTTTTTTTTTAACATGTTCTAGATGTGCTTTTTCTTCCCTATGGTGAAAATTCAACACCACAGGGTCACTACTTATTCTGAGAAGAATCTCCATTAATTCAGAACTGACAATGATTATGGAATAAAACAGAGATGATCAGCTGAGTAAGAGAGAAAACAGTTCAGTATTTATGGCATCTGTTGCATGATACGGTATTACCATCATTGATGACAGTTAATTTCAGTGAAGAACTATGTATGCATTTAAATCAAGCTATGTTTTTCCATTCAGTCATGCTCAAATAAAACTTAAGTAAATTCCAATACACATCTTCAAGTCTAAATGAGTAACTTTAATTACAAGTATTGCTGGTTTTTTAAATATTTTCATGGCTTGAAAGTAGCCTTATCTACAGCATTTTGCAGCAGTCTAATCTTGATCTAATAAAAGCATGGAAGATGGTAACGGGATTCATAACCTGAATCACTTTTTGCCACTAAACATGGAAAAAGGGCGGTCCTAACCATCATAGATACCTATTCACATATATTAATACACTCAAAAATATGAGGATCATCTATAGGCATGGCATGGTGGTTTGAGATCAGCATGGACATAGAAATCTCTCTTCTGCCACAGCCTTCTCAGGTGACCTTAGGATTCAGCATTGTATGCCCAAATCTGCGGAGACAGGGGTCATTGTGTCTCTACGCAGCTGCAAAATTAGCTCGAGGAAATAGTTTAGCTGCTCAGATACGGTAGTAATCGGGGGAGCAGAGAATGTCAATTCAAGTGATAGTGCTGTTCCCATAAAAATTGAAAGCAATTTTCAAAGGGACGAAAAGAACACCCCGCTGTGGAAGTGGTGGTACAGAAGAAGTAGATGATTGACTCAAACCGCACATATCAAGTCGCTGCACAGCTAAAATGAGAACCTCTCCTATTTTAGGCCAAAACATTTCTCAGATATACTTTTTCAGCTGCATGAATGCTGAAGACATTTGATATAAAACTTCTCAGTGAAAAATAAAATAAACATTTCTTGTTCCACTACTCCCAAAAAATAAACTATGGGGAAAGCCTGCATATCCCAGAATATTGTGTTTTTACAACCATCCTGCAAATATACCAGATAGTTTTAATGGATTTCTTTTTTTGCACAGACTGATCAACATTATATGCATAATGATGTGTGTTAAAATAATGAAGTCTTTTATACGAGTTCACCTCAGCTGCATTATTCATGAATGTTACCGTAATTTCCATCAAACAAAAACAAGTAAGCTATTGCTTTGATGCAGATCATTACATGTTTGATTTATGACATCACAGGAGAAAACAATATTTCACTCCTTTGATTTTTAGTTTTACTTAGGAATTCAATTTTAAATGTTCTCATGTTTCCCATCATTTGTTCAAGTGTAAATTACATCTGGGTTGAGAAGCAATGTGTATATCAGGTGGATTTTGCACAGAGCTGACACCTGTTGTTCCTACTGCAGCTGAGTATTTATAGCTTATATATCTGATTAGCCTGAATATACTCAATACCCATTACCTGAA